CCGGCCTTGTTTATACCCCCAATGTTCATATGATACCTACTTTGCACTATTTATAATGACTGTAGATACTTCAATGTCCTCCCTAATTTTGCAAGTTAAACTTATTTCACTTATGCACAGTATTTTGGAGTTTGTTAACTTCCATTTTATGGCAATATATAATTTGCATTTGTAATATGGGCAAAAATAAAAATTAAATTGGCACGTCTGTTTTGTTCTTGTAATAAAATAACTTATTCTAACTTCCGTGTTGGATTTTTGTGTTGTGATACAAATTTGAAAGGGAAGTGTGCATTCGAGCACCTGGTAGTCTTAAAGCTTTAATGCTGGCCTGCTGAGATTTTTTTCCTCGAGATTTGCCATCAGGCACTGTGGCTGCGAGGGGCGTGCAGCCTGGCCCTGCCTTTCCCGGCAGGGAACCCCCAGGACCCCCATGTAAGAACCCGAGGGTGGGATCGTCCTCGGGCACAGCTGAGTGATGGAGGCCTTGGTCACCCAGGGGACCTTCTCAGATCGCGTGAGACAAAGCAACACCAGGTATAACCTCGGTGGCCTGGCTCCGAACAAGTTTTAAATTATTGCCTTGCTCAGGTCCGGCGTTGCCACATGTGCTCCATCTGAGCCCAGGTCGGGGCTAAGCCGGTCACTGAGTGACATCAGTAATAATTTCTGTCGGATTAGGATCACACATTACCAGGAAAGGAGACCCTGTCTGGAAGGATTGATCTAGAGAATGAAGCTCAAGATGGGGGGCAGCTGGGAGGTGCAGGAGCCTCGCAGCCCAGTGGAGCTGACTCACCTGGGCTGGGATCGCAGCAAGGCTGTGAGCCAGCGACTAGGAAAAGGGGTCAGGTTAAACAAAAACAGCATGACGGGACAGCAGGAGAAGGCCTCCCCATGCCCAAACTGGGACCCTGGAGTCACCAGCTCGAAATGTGAAGGTCGGGACAGGAGGAGGCCGGGTGCAGTTCCCAGTGGAGGCTCCGGGGTTCCAGCTGAGTCAGGGGATATTCTCGGAGTCCCGCGCGCTAGCTGCTCGGAAGTTCGCCCGGAATAGCCGCGGCGCCTCGCCCCCAGAAGCCCCGGTCCGACCAGATCCAGTCCTATCCCTGCTCCCGGTTCCCGGTCCCTTCACTGGGACGGCACTGGGGTCGGCGCTGGGCGAGAGGCGACTGCGGGCCAGGCGAACTAGCGGGGTACGGTGGGCCCCGGACCCGGAAACGGGCGGGAATCAGGGAACCAGCCGGGGCCTTGATCGTCACCCCTGTTCTGGGCCTCCGGTTCTCAGGCGTGAGTCCGAGGCCAAGGGGTTCAGGTCCCCGCCTTCACGACCCCTTCAGCCCAGCTTTTTCCCAGGGTCTGGTTAATAGGAAGGAAACGACTCCTCGAGTCCCGCGCCCGCTCCCCTGGCGAGTCCCCGCCTCCTTCCCCGACCTCCGCCCCCAGGTCGCAGGCCCCACGCGCGCGGTGACCCAGGCGCTCGCGCCAGCCCTGCAGCGGTCCGCCGGGCACCCGCGCCCTTTCCTGCTCTCAGTCCAGCTCTGTTTATCTGCATCCTCCGTGCAAGCTCCGCCAGCAAGGTGCTGGGCTGTAACGGGCAGCCCTGAATCTCGGTATTTTCAAGAAAGTTTACTTTTACATCAATCAGACCCATGTTTAAAAGCCTCTAATCTTCCCCGAATCAGCTTAATAAACTCTCTGAATTTCCTGCTTTTATCACAACTCTATTGGGAACTCTCTGTAAATAGTTTTCCATCTATTGTTTTCTCTCTCCAGCAGACTGCACTCGGGTAATTCTCTTGCTCTCGCTGGTGAAGGCGCACGTGGGAAAACAGCTCACTAAATGCGTGGCGGCCTGCGTCGTCCCTTAGGCAGCGGTGGCAAAATCGCAAATTTTCCAGAGTAGTCTTAGGCAGTGTCTCATTTAAATCCCGTCTTTGCGGCTCTGATAAAAATTGAGTTTTAAGTTATTCCATATTCAAAACAGGCTGATTTCTGTTTCATACCCATTAAATATTAAAGTTCATTGGGAATACTGCCACAGGGACTCTAAATTTCCCAGAATGATGCAGTCTTTTAGTGAATATTAAATTGTGTGGTATAATAGCCATAAACTTTTCCATCTCCGGGAATTCCTTTTCTGCCTCAATTTAATCGAGCTACCCAAATTATTAGATAACTCTGCTGAGAAACGTCTTATTCTGAAGTGAATCTAGCTAAATAATTTACTCGGATCTTTCCCCCCTTTTCTTGCATTGAGATTTCACTACCCAACTGGGTATCTCTCATGTTAAAAGTTCAGTTAGCATAAAATACAACACTTGTAATTGTTACAGGTAATTTAATTTACAAGGATATCCCTACTGTATTACGGAAGATGTTTAAAGATGACCTGGAAAGCAGTAAAACTGATATTTATTAATGTTACTAACAAACTGTGGATCTGACACCTCACCAGGGACTGCTGGGAGCACACTTCAGAGCTAAAAGCCCTTTTCTTGGAAATCCACATAGAAAACGATGCCTGCCCTTGAGTGGCTGGCAAGTACTGGGCGAGGCTGAGGTGTCTGATACAGTAATGCAGACAGAAGATAAGGCTTCTTACTAGGAGAACAATGGAATGTTTGCCACAGTAACACCGACAAGATACAGGAAATATTGCAAAGAGGAATTAGGTTTTTGATCTAACGATGACAAGGGAAACGATCTTTGTAATTAGGTAGATGTTTCTATTCATAGCTTTGAAATACTGCAGCTCTTCAAAAATTCAGAAGTAATTAATGGTTAATGACATTCTTTATTCAATAATCTACTTGTTTCTTTTAAATAAGAGAGAAACTCTTATTTGGATAAATCCAAAATTTCCAAAAAATAAGGTTAATTCAAAGTTTATTTATTTTATTTATTTATTTATTTATTTATTTATTTATTGGCAGAACCAGGGGTTGAACTCAGGCCCTTGTACTTGCCAGGCAAGCGCTTATTCTATTGAGCCATCTCCCCAGCCCCCTGAGCCAAAGTTTAGTTCTTATCCAGAAGGTAAAAGGAGAAATCTGCATTTCTGTTTCAGAGAGAATGGTCTAAGTTAATGGAATGAAGCTTCTAAGAACCCAGCCCTGGTTATTAAAACCGTTTCTGGGTACTTGAGAGGTAAAGCTGGTCCTCATTAACCAACCATATCTTTTCCCTTATCTTTTTAAGTTTGCAGCACTATTTCCTAAGTACTGAACGAGGGGACTGTTCCCTTTAATAGTTGTGCTAGCATCACCTTGACTTTCAGAAAGGAAAAAAAAAAAAAGGTGACTCAATTCCCACCTCTTCCCACCGTCTTTTAATAACTGCCCATAAATCTTCCATTCTATTTGGGGTCAGGGTGGAGGCAGCTGTGTGACCCAACCCCGCCCAAAGCTGAGCCTGGGACCCCGGTGGCTCTGACAGAAGGCGCCCATTTCTGCACCAACGATGCGCACATTTTTCCTTACCGCCGATATCTGAGCTAGGGTAGCAACAGTCCCCCACGGTCTGGGCGGTGCCCTCTTTCAAAATAAATCCCGATGAAAGATGGGTCGTTTAGTTCCTGAGACAAGGAAATGGAAAGGCAATGCCAACAATTGTTGCGGGGCGGTGGCCCGGTTGGGGTTTCCTTGCGCCCGCTAGGGCTGCTTTTGGGAAAGATCCGACCCGGCTTCAGAGGGTTAAATATTTGCAAAGGGTAAAACCTGAGCCTCCTGGTTTTTTGTGCTTGCCCGGGGCTTGCTAGAGATTCGGTATCTCCCGGTTATTTCCTGCGATCACTAAAGCCAGTTTTCAAGAAAACAAGTCGCAGGGTTTGAAATGTCACACCGAGTGACCTGGACATGGGTATACAGGGGCTATCCCTGCCCCCTCCGCTCTAGGTCTGGAAAGAAAATAAACCCAGGACACGCCAGGCTGGCTCTGGGGCGCTCCTTCCCGGCGGGCGGGCCGGTGTCTCCTGCAGGTGATGCCGGCAGATAAGGCGCCGTCCGCCCGCCGTCTAGACTGGGAGGGGGGTGAGTGACGCACAGAGCCGGGACCGACCGGGACACCGCGCAGGATCTCAAGGGACGGACCGAGTCTCGGTCTTGCGAGTCCGACCACAGACGGGCGTCTGTCGCGCTGCCGCCAAGCGCGTGCTGCGGGTTTCCCTCCAAAGCGCAGTAGCCACACCACCCGCGGGCCTCCACCGCGCCACACTGGACACTCTGGAAGGGATGCTGCCAGGTTCCTTCCGGAAGCAGCTGGACTGGGCAGGCAAGGCCCCGCCCCCACCAGCCTCGGCCCTCCTAGCGACCAATCATCTTCGAGCCCGCCCCCACGCGGCGACCAGTCCGGGCCAGGCCGGGCCCCTCCGGCGCACAGGGCAGCACACCGCTCAGAGAGCACTACGAGGCCCATACTGAATTTCACTGCAACTAATGGAACTCTTGAGGCTTTTTCATCCAGCCATTCCCTGGGGCAACAGGACACAGCAGCAGCCTGGCATCAGGTTATCAATTTTTATTAAGATCAAAATATTCGTCCACTATGAACTGGTTCTCACAATAAATAACAATAACTTACGTTTGATCGGCAAAGGCTCACACTCCGTCCTCCGTCAACCGATAACTTAACACGCTTGTAAAGAAAGTCCAGTCCTGCTTTTCCAGCAATCATGCGCGTGGAACCATGTGTTTGCTCTTCCGGACCCACAGGACCCACGGTTCTCCACGCGGTCCGCGTGTGGGCGGGGCCTCGTGCAGCACGGGGAGGGAGGGGCAGCACTAACCCTGGTGGATCCCAGGTTCTGGTTTTGGGAAAAATAAAAAGTCCTGGGAGCGGGGTCTCCAGCTGGCTGTGGGCAGGCTATGTCCTGGAGCTTTGCAGGCCTGACCTCGGGGTTTTCCCTTGGTCCGCTCTCAATGACAACGGAGACAAGACGAGCTGGCACGGCCTGAGCTGGGTGTCATGCGGGGAGCATGCGAGGTCCGGCGGGGGTCCGCTCACGTCTCCACGGGGCTTGGCACCATACTGTTGGGAGTGTCCGGGAGCTGCGAGGACAGGGAGGTCACGTCGCTGCCTGAGGAGTTGCCCAGGGAGCCAGACTCGGAGAAGGAGACCTGGGCGGTTGGAGACGCAGGAGGGCAGTGAGGGCTTGCCTGGGCTGTCGCCCCTCCCCGCCCCTACCGAGCTGAGGTCAAGTTCCCCGAAGCCTCAACTCTGCTTTTTCAAGCCAGGCGCCCATACTTCCCCCAACCGCGAACGCCCTCCCACTCCCCTGGCCTAGCAGAGGGTCCCCACTCGGTCCTCACCAGCTGCTGGAAGGCTGGCTGGTCCAGGTCGCTCTGCAGCGCGAATTCGCTGAGTGCCTTCCAGGGCGGCTGGAACGTCTGCACCTCCACGGCGCTGCCCTGCACGGCGCTGTCGTGGCGGATGGGGCTGCCGGCCACCAGCGGGGTCCCGGTCAGGCCCTGGAGGCTCTGCAGGAGAGGGCTCGGTGAAGGTGAAGCCTTTTCTGACCCTGGACGCTTGGACCCCAGCCCTGAGCGCGACCTGCACTGCACATGTGGATGCAAACGCGAAAGAGCCGAGCCCTGCCCCGCCAGGGTCCCCAAACCTGCAGGGTCAAAACCAAGAAGGATGGCGAGGCCTGGCAGAGCGCGAGACTAAGCATTCTCACCAAGCCAAGCGCAGGGACACACAGCCAAAGTTCAGTCATGCCACGCGACCAGGCCACCTGGGCTCCAGATCCCCGGCCGCCGCCTCGGCCCACAATGTTAGGACACCTGGGCCCAGGGAACCCTTGCTCACTTGGCCAGGACCTCACCCTGGGGGTGCAGAACCCGACCTCCCGGGGAAGGGGCGCAGAAGCCCGGACCGGCCCTCACCGTCTTGTCGCTGTGCTGCTGCTGCTGCAGTTGCTTCATGAGGATGGACTTCTTCTTGTCCTTGCAGCGCTTGTTCTGGAACCAGACGCGGATGACGCGCGGGCTCAGCCCGGTCATCTCCACCAGCTGCTCCTTCATGAGCGCGTCGGGCCGCGGGTTGGCGGCGTAGCAGGTCCGCAGCGTGTGCAGCTGCTTCTCGTTCAGCACGGTCCGCACCCGTGTCGTCTTCTCCGCCTGCTTGTGCACGTGCGGGCGCAGGGCGGGCTGCCGGCCAGGCGCGGGGTCTGCGAGTAGGGCGGGCCGGGAAGGGGTAGCGGGGCCCAGTGAGCGTCCCGGGACCCTGCGCCCGGCTTCGTTCCCCTTTATTCGTTCCCTTTCCTTCGCGCTCCGGGAGCCTGCGTTTTCGCCCCTCCCGGTTCCCCGCCGCGCCTCCTCCCGCGCTGGACCTGAGCGGCTCACCCTCCCAGCCCACAAAGCCCCTGGAAGCAATCTGGGTTTCCGAGGACCAGGCAGGAAGCGGCGGGGACTCTGGGGAGATCACAGGCCGCGCGACCCGGGATGGAGGCTTCGTCCCGGGCCCGGGGCCTGCAAGGCCGCTGACCTCCTTGGGCTCCGCGTTCCCAGACAGGCCTTTCCCGAGCCCTAGGTCGGCTCCTTCCCGCCGGCCCGGCCCGACCCGACCCAGCCTCCTCCCTCGGGGCTCCCCTTGTTCTCGGTCAACCCGGAAACAGCACAGGAACCTCCGGGATCTGAGGCCGTCTGCACTCGGTGCCCGGCTCCAACCCTGGCCTGGTCTGCACCATCTTGATGTGTCTGCCGTAGACATTTCAGGGTCTGAATAATTTCTATAATTTCCACGAGCAGCGGCCAGCCTTCCTTGATCCACATCGAGGAGCCGGAGCCCGGCCTACGAATCTGCCACCTAGGCTGAGGTCTCGGTCCCTGTTTTCCGCCTGCCTGGCTCTACTCCACCATCTCTTGGCGCCTCCTGAGCCGACACCGCGACCCGGGCAGCACAAGTTTGGACTCGCGATCCAAACCCGATCGGACCCAAAACGCCCCTGTCCCGGGCGGCGATGGCCTTGGGGTTCCCGCATGGGAGCGGAGTTAATGAACCGCAAGGACCCCGGCAAATTGCACTCAAGACTCCCCCTTGCCATCCATCTGCTGTTCCAGGTACCGTGTACCCTACACCCCCCGAACCCTGGCGACTCCCGGCACACACGAGTCACCGCGGGAATCGCGCGGAAGGCACTCTGCCAGCTCCAGAGCAGCGCCCCGGCCCTCGCGCTCAGCCGGCCGGCTCACCTGGCAGGTGCAGGGCGCGCGGGGCTGCAGGGATCGGGCCGGGGCTGCGCGGGCTGCCGGCAGCCGCGCGCTCGAGCAGGAGCCCGTGGTCGGCGCGGCACAGCAGCTCGTGCTCCCGCAGTGAGAACTCGTCCCCGGGCAGCAGCTGGCGGCTGCACACTGCGCAGCGGAAGCACTCCACGTGGAACACACTGTCGCGTGCGCGCATCACCAGGTCGCTGCTGCTGAAGCCCACCTGGCATTTGGCGCACTTGATGCCGAAGAGCCTGTGGACGGGCGGGCGCGGGTGAGCGCGGCCTGGTCCCCACCCCGTGGCGAGGCTGCTGCGCGGACCTCCCTCCACCCACCCGGCTCACCGCGCGTAGTCCCGCTTGCAGTAGGTCTTCCCGTCTCGCACGAAGCACGTGCATGTCTCGTCCAGGTACTGGCTGCACTCAGCACACTTGAGGCAGGCAGCATGCCACTCGAGGTCGGGCGACACGCGCAGGATGAACTGGTCGTGGATTTGACTCCCGCAGCCCACGCACATAGCCGTCCCGGGCTTCTCTGAGAGGAGTGCAAGGCGCCAGGTCAGAACCCCGGCCCGGCCCTGTGGCTTGTGCTTCTCCTCCCTCACCCATCATCGCGACCAAAGGGAAGGCGAGCTTTCCAAGGACCCGTGATGTCCAGAACGAAAACCCAAATCGAGGGTCTATAGAAGGCTCGTCTCCAAAGCGCGGGGGTCGGCGCAGGGCCGCTGTGTCGGTGACCACCCAAACCGGACGAGGGGTACTGAGAGCCACTAGCATCGCCGCGGACACCCGCAGTCCAAACATCCCAGACCACGCCAGACAAGTCTCGAGCTTTTAAACCAAAACATCAGCAAACAAAACCCGCACCCTGAGCCAGACCCAACCACCTCCAAGCAAGACAGCAGAACCCCAGCCCGGTCCAAGATAAATCTGGACACCAGGGAGCAGCAGCCCTCAGAGAGGTGAGTTCGAGGGTTTCCTCCCTGGTGCCCGACGGAAGCCACTTGTAGGATCCGTCGATCACGCCTCTGCATTCGGGATGCTGCGCATCACGCACCCCCCTCCCCGCACGTAGGGGACTCACTCTTGGAGGGGTCCCCCATAGCACCCGGGAAAGGACACTGGAGAAGCAGATCCACCATGCAGAGCGAGGCGAGCGGCGTGGATGGGCCGAGGACTAAGGTCGCGCAGCTCGGCTCCCGCGCACTGACTCCCAGCCAGCCGGGAGGCAAGTCCGCACCGGCCCGCACGCGCGTGACGTCAGCACGCACAGCCCCCGGCCAGGGCGGGGGCGGGAGACCCCCGGATGGGCGGGGTGGGAGAGGCGGGGGCACAGCAGGATTGGCTGGCCTCAAGTGGGAGAGTTCTGATTGGCTGTGCATGAACAATGGGCCGCAGCCCCGCCCCCGAAACTACAGGGACCCCTGGCAGCCAGGACCCGGGAGCTAAGCATCTGCGGGGACTGGGGCGGGAATGGAGGCTGAGTGGGCGCCCGGCGCTCGGCTTTAAATCTCTCATCTCTTAAATAAAAAAATCTCCACTGGGATGTGAGCTCAGGGAAGGGGATCCGCTGAACGTGGCCCTTCTGGTCCCACCCGGGAACCTTCTCTTGTTGTGCGCTTTTGTCCTCAGAGCCCAAGCTAGCGGAAGGTAGGGCTGACCACCGGGTCTGGATGGACTCTGTCCAGGGTCTCGCCGCCCCGCCCTAGGAAGCCTCGAGCTGGAGGTAGGTGGCCCGGGACGCAGAGCCAGCTCCTAAGGGACAGGTCCTGTGCTCCCGCGGCTGGGGCTCACCTCTTCTTTGCACTTTTTTTCTGCTCTTCCTCTTTCTTCGTCCTGTGATTTCGTTTTTAATGTGCACCGACTCCCCACCCTAACCTGCGGCACCTTCCAGAGCGCTACTGGGGTCCAGTGTGGGTCTCTGTCCAGAATAAACGGTTTTCACAAATCTGCTGTTTCATTTCACAAACGAACGCAGCCTGAATCCCAGAAACGAACGTGGTGCCGGGTGATTTACTGTCTGCCTAGTGGCTCCTCGGTCCTTAGGAATGAGGCCTTGCGCATTCTCTGTCAAAAATAAATAAATAACCACGATGGGTTTTGTTTGGAAGTGTTATAACCCACCCGTTATAAAGTACATCTACCTGCTCAGTGTCTGCGGCTGTTTCCCACTGAAAGGTGGAGGACACCGTGTTCTCCTGCCTGGGTCCCTGAGCCCGCCTGAGCGCCTGGCGCCGCTCTGAGTCCACACCCTGATTGCGAGAAAGAATTGGGGGCCCACCGGGCGGGCACTGACATGGGCACCCGCGGGCCTTGGGCCACCGCAGCCAGCTCGAAAGGTTCTACTTTTTTCTTTGGCCCCATCTCTTTAGACTACAACTGCTTCGCCCTGGGCCGCGTCTAACATTCTTGGCCCGCAGCACTCACCCGAGTGAGCGCCACGGTCAGGGGCAAGCAGGTTGCTCCGCTTGAACGAATGTAAGCAGAGACCATCCCTGCCCGTACGTGCGCCAGGCCACTAGTGTAACCTCAGGCAGCACCTTTCAGTTCTTCCCTGAGTTTCCTCATAGATTTTTCTACTGTGTAAGAATCAACCAAATTATTCCAGGACACGGTTTAGGATAATACCTCAATGCCTGTTAACTTTGATCCTTATCATTGTGGCTGTCTCTGCCCTCACGCACCTTCCCTGCTCAGTGTGCCAGCCTGGGTTCTGGTGCAAGCGCTGTACCGTGGAGTACACTGTGCTTTGGAAGTCCTGTGAAGATGGATCCAGCTCTAGATTGGGGGGACACTGTTGTGTAAGCTCCTGTGGGGAGTGTGAGGTGTTTCTGGCTTGGCTGGGCTCCTGCCTGCTTTGGTGCCTCTGGGCCAGGCGTGGCTCCCACCACCGTTTTGACCCCTGCTACCCCACCACGAGCAAGAAATCAGTACTTGAGGAGCTCCTGTGGCCAGGAGTCCTAAGCTCCAGGAAGAACTGCGACGATGTCTCCTTTGCCCCTGAAGCTCCTTCCTGGCCAGGAAATCTAGTCCTATGAAATGGTGCAGAGCTCATGAAGAGTGGCTACTCCTGGTCAGGAGTTAGGTCAGGAACTAGCGTTTGTGCTGTCTCATGCCCTAGGTCTTTCCTGCCACATCTTGGGTGGGCAGTGTCAAACCCACTTAGTCTTGAGGGAACAGGCAAGATGGGAAGTGACTGCCAGCGTGAGGCATGGTCAGAGGTGACGCTAACTCCGTCCCTTGTTGCTTTTCTCACTGTGCCACTGAAGATTCGCAAGGTGTGGTCCAACACTCACCCTCTTTCTTTTCTGTAAAACCAGTTACAAGTTCCCTCCTCGTGGGTGTCCGGTCAGAGCCACCCCCAGGGGTCCAGTGCTAGGGGAAGAGTTCCCTGCCTCCAAGTCCCACGGTGTCTTTGATGTGGCCCTTCCCTGTTCTCTACCTCCTAGTGACTCCCAGAATCCCCTCTGAGGGATCCCTCTAGCCGCAGCACTCAGGAGACCTGGGAGCCTCCTCTCTCGGGCCTCAGAGTATCCATGATGAGTCCTGACTGGGAGCAGCAGCTTGAGCGCCTCAGCTCTGCCTTGCTTCACACAGCAAGCGCCGGGCTCCAGCTCCTCCTGGGAGATGGAAGGAGCAGGAGTCTCCAGATTCCTTGTCCCAACCCCTCATCACCGCAGCCTCCTCAGGGTCCACAATTCTCCCAACAGAAGGCTGCTTACAAAGGTCCTGGAGAGAACAGAAGAGCACTGGTCTCTCCCAACAGAGCGAAGGACCTCAAAGAAAAAGCAGGAAACCTGTCAGCCTGGAGGAAAAGGGTTGCGAGGGAAGCCAGCCGAGTGGTGAGTGGCATTTATCATTTCATCCTTTGTTAGCCCTCCCACCTTTCCCTTTCCCCTTCTTTCCCTCCAGACTCCTATAGAGTCAGGAGTCTAGAAAGGCAAGAGACTCCAAGACTTCTGACAGATCAAAGCCACAGGGAGGAGCCAGTCTCACCCTTCCTGCTTATGGTGTAGAGCAGAATGGGCTTTGTGTGTGTCTGTGTGTGTGTGTGTGTGTGTGTGTGTGCGCGCGCGCGCGCACACACAGCCATACTTATATGCTCCCCCCCTACACACACACACACACACACTGAGCCTCCTTCCTGGCTCCCCTGCCTTCCTCTTTTCCCTCACTTGGAGATCTTCACATTCTATTTTTGTGGATTCACCTTGGGACCACCTCCAGTGTCCCCATCACCCCAGCCAGCACTTAGGGGTCTCTGCTGAGGGGCTCTATGTCCACACTTTCTGGTCCCATCCTCCAACATATCCAGGCAAACTGGCTGCGAGTGGCTGTCCTGCTAGAGCTCAGTACTGGTGCAAGGAAGGATTAGAACTCACAGTGATGCAGCCACTGCACATGCTCCACCCAATCCAGAGAAAGCTGTGCTACCTGGAGGAGCATCAGTTTCCAGTGTGGTCATCAGGAAGAGTACCAGGGTTGGGTCCCCTGTGAACTATCATGGAAAGGAGCAAGCTGGGAACCAGGCCCCCAAACCGAGCAGAACTTTTCCTGCCAGAGTCTCTATGGAATCTCTTTTGTCCAGGGCTGAGGCTCCCTATCGTCTCTTGCACCTTGCCTGCCTCCCCACCTCAGACTCCCTCTTAGTACACATATGTCCATGAGACAGGGACAGTGGGGACCTGTTCTCTTCACTGACACTGGAGCACTTGCTACACAGATCCTGTGCTGAGCAGTCAAGTGGGGTCCCACGTAAAGTGCCCAATCGCCTGAGCAGTTTTGGCCACAGAATTTGCAAATTTCAGTGCAAAACAGAATTTCAAGACCCAATGCTCAAAAATCATTAAGAATCTGAAGACAACTGTGACAACATTCAACTAAGCACAGGGCCCTTCTAAAGCCCAGGGCCCTTATGATTACCCAGGCTGAGTCCAAAAGACAGCTATGCCTCCAAGGCATCAAGGCATAGCTACCTAGTCTACCATCCTCACCCTTCTGTGGTCTTTCAGGAGAGCCGAAATCAATAAGCAATAACCTCCATTAGTAAGAAGAGGAATTAGACTCAGAGCCTGACCCCCATGAGAAGGGCTGTAAGCTTGCACTTGAGTCTATCCAGTTGTAAGTGGTTTTGTTGGTTATTTTGTTTTGAGTGGCCAGACATAGGCCAAGGTTACTGAGGTCATCCTGCAGGAAAACAAACCAACCCCTCATTTGTAGCACTCTTGTCCTTGGGGAATCATGTGGTAAGGAGTGGCTGTGAGAGTTCTGTTAAAAGGACCACAGGGTGTCATTATAGAAAAAGCAGACACATTAGCTCTATGTATGTATGTGTGTATTCCTCCATCCAGTAGTGGGGATTAAACCCAAGGGTGCTGTACAACTGAGCTACATCTCCAGTCCTTTTCATATTTTAATTTAAGACAGAGTCTTGCTAAGATGCCTGGGCTGATCTGGAACTTGCAATCCTCCTGCCTCAACCTCCCAAACACCAGGGACTAGAGGCCCAAATGAGGGCAAATGAACCTTTAAAACAAAAGAGTGCCTTTGTTTCCTTTCAAATGCTATCACATAGCAGCATAGGTAGTTTTGAGGAGAGCAAACCAAACCTAGATCTTGGGAGAAGAGTGGGCCCTGGGGCAGAGCTGTGTTTACAGCTATGGGGAAAGATGCATTTTCCCCATCTTTCCAGAAGGGGGAACCTGGGCTAGATCCCCGTGGCCTGGCTGTGCTTCCAAACAGTGTGGTCCAGGTCCCTGGGCTTGTGGCTACCTGGAGTCAGCCTGGAGCCTTCTGGCATTGCCTGTTAGTTCTGTTTTTCGTCTAAAAGCTGCAGGCTGGGCAAGTTGGGAAGGAAGGAGACCAAAGGAAGTAGAAAAAACTGAGATCCAAAAGGAATCAATTCACCAGAGCAGGACTGTCAGCTCCTAGGCACACAGGTGAGCTTCTTACCACAAGGGCCAGAAGACCTTGTGCATCCCTTCAGCAGTGTTTCTCCAATCAAATTAGAGGAACTGTCAGTCACCAGAGCCTGTTTGACTTCATGCCTTCCCTTACCCCACCCCCTCAAGAAAACGGAATATTGTTCTCAGTTCCTTCCTTCTGCACAGTTGTGTGTGGGTTTAGGTTCTGCAGACACTGG